TGACGACGGCGAACAAGAGAGAGAATGTGAGCACTGTGCTCAGGCGCTGCCGTTGTCAGCGCAGTCAAAATAAAAGTCAGTCCGCCTTGAACGCATCGGCCAAACAGGAAAATGTATCGGCCGATGCCGATATATATAAAAAAAAAGCCAAATATCGGCCGATATATCGGCCTTGGCGATATATCGGTCAACCACTATATAATAGCAGTCACACTTCTGTTAAAATGTTCGGGTCAGCAAGGATGCAGTAAGTACAAAAATGTTTATATTATTTTGAACTTTCGATTCATTACAATTTACATTTACATTTTTAAATTATAACAAAAATTTAAAATTCCTTGAATTACATAGTACCATGTGAATATCATGTTCCTCGCTGTACCATGGTACAGCCACAGCACTTTTCATACGAGACAGAACTTGAAGGGCTTTTATTCTTGTGGGAACAGTAGTTACAACATTCCCATTCAGTTGATACAACACATGACTATGGGACATCCACAGACAGCCCTTTAATAATGCCCATGATGTAACCATGCCCTTCTAAACAGAGTAAATACACATATACCCGGAAACCATTTACTACTACAGTACATAGCATGGCTTTACTGTAGCCCCCACAATGTACTGCAAAAGATATAGAAAAATGATATCCAGCACCAGCTACTAATGAATAGATTTCATGAGATATCATAGATTCTCATTGTGATGAATAAAATTTACATTGGCCCTTCCAAAGTGCTATAATTTATGAGATATAATTTGGGCACTGACATAATGACCTCCCCTGGATGAAAAATCTGCACCTCTATTCCGTTGACTGACTTCAAAGAGCTTTGGATGAGAGTGGGATCAGTCCTTCCTCATCTAATGAATGACATGATAGGCACATTGTCTGTTTGATTAATCCATGAGAGGAAGTGCTTCAGGGCAACAAAAAAACTAGTAATTGGAGATCATTTATGTGGTGTGTAGCTGACCACACCTTTCACTTCAAACAGGGCTTCATAAAGTGACCCCTGACTTGGTAGTCATAGCCTCAAGCTGTGCAGGCTTGAGCAATCAATAGCCTGAGAAACGGGTCTTCCGTGACACCATCCTCAAGCTAGAAGTTGAGATGTCAGCTCTGCAACCATTGTTGGAGAAGTCATCTTTCACTATAGAGCAGTGATCCTCAAATCTGGCTCGCGAGATCCACTTTCCTGCAGAGTTTAGCTCCAACCCTATAATCAAACAAACCTACCTGTGCTTTTCTAATGATCCTGAAGACATTGATTAGCAAACTCAGGTGTGTTTGATTAGGGTAGAGCTAAACTCGGCAGGAAAGTGGATCTCGTGAGCCAGATTTGAGGATCACTGCTATAGAGTGAAGAATATTCCTCCTTTCTCCTGCTCTTGGTCAAATCCACCACATACTAATGTCACTACACTAATCCTTCCAGCCTCCACGCAGTTCTCCAGTTTTTTTATCTAGAAGGCGGCAGTTTCTCTCTCTCTGATAACTGAGGTATGTGCAACTCGAGATAAGGTGAACCAAGCACACGCTTAACAAATTACCGCTGATAGTGTGCTGAAAGGCAAACCTAGCATGGCTGGTTCCAGTTTCTGAGTATATTTTTCATACACTAGGTACTGACATGCCAAGGGACAATTATGTTTTCTTAAAGGGGTCCTATTATGCTTTTTCACTTTTTCAACTTTAGTTAGTCTGTAATGTTGCCGTTTGAGCATAAAAAAAGTTCAAAGTCCAATTCAAAAGGAGATATTTTTTTTAACAGAAATCACTTTTCAAAAACTACAACGCATATTTTCCGGGATTTGTGATATCACAAATATCGACGAATGGGATGATACCTGGTTGAGCTGCACTAGAGAAGGCAATGTCGGAGACGCGCTAGCTTTCCCAAGGCAGATGAACTTAAGAGTGGTTACAATCATCCGGGTTCAAATCGCGCTCAAATTGATTTGATTTTGTCGCAATATTTACACTGAAGCTCGCAGGTGGCTACGGTAAGGGGTATGACTGAGTGGTGCCAATCACAACACACACAGGCCCAGCTAACCAATCACAGCACATTTCATACTTCAGAAGGCGGGCCTTCATTTGATACAAGAACTATTCGAGCTGTTCATGCCAGACTGGGGAGAGAGGTGTTGTAATAATGTATATAATATGTGAAAAATAATGTGTTTTTCGAACAACCTAGTATGAGAGCCTGTTCTAGTACACCCCCAAAACAAAATCAAGACTTTGTAAAAGAGCATAATAGGACCCCTTTAAAATTAGAAAAACTTGCAAAAATTTTGGTAGAATACAATTTTTGTAGGTGAGTAACAGGGTTAGTTCACTCAAAAATGAAAATTCTGTCATTAATTACTTACCCTCATGTTGTTCCAAACCCATAAGACCTTCGTTCATTTTCGGAACACAAATTAAGATATTTTTGATGAAATCTGAGTGCTTTCTAACCCTGCATAGACAGCAACGCAACTACCACATTCAAGACCCAGAAAGGTAGTAAGGACATCGTTAAAATAGTCTATCTGACATCAGTGGTTCAACCTTAATTTTATGAAGCTATGAGAATTCTTTTTGAGAGCAAAGAAAACAAAAATAACAACTTTATTCAACAATTCTTGCAGGGTCAGAAAGCTCTCGGATTTGATCAAAAATATCTTGATTTGTGTTCCGAAGATGAACAAAGGTCTTACAGATTTGGAAAGACATGAGGGTGAGTAATTAATTACATAATTTTCCTTTTTGAGTGAACTATCCCTTTAAATTGTAAAAAAATATTTCTCAATATTACAATTTTTACGCTATTTTTGATCAAATAAACACAGCCTGGGTGAGCATAAAAGAGTTTGTTCAAAAAAACATTAAACAAACTGCATGTATTTATGTCTCTGCATAGATTTTTCTAGACCAGATGGACCTTGTTTTTATTTGTAAATGTTTCTTGCGATCGTTTCATCTGTTGCACATTAAACACACAGACCTGTCCTGAGGAAGCCAACAGGTTGATGGTGGTCAGGAGCATCCAGCCCCGGCTCGCCTCCTCGCTCTGATTTACCTCCAAAAACTGCACAATGGCTCTGCTGGCCGCCTCTGTGGGAGGAGCACACACACACACACACAAACAAACAGAATCACTGATGCGTTTAACAGTCTGTGCATGTGGATCAAATCAATTTTCACACGTCATTTTGTGTGTGACTGGCCTCATCTGGGGAAGGACGCTGAGTCAATTAGAGGTGATGACATGCAGGCGGTTTCGTTTCTCATTCATCCATTGCTACCTCTTTTTGAGATGCAATATCTTGACACCCCAGTGAATTCACAAAGGATAAGATTTACTCAGAAGAATTATATTTTCTGCTCCAATGAAAATGCAATCATATAATGACATTTTGAAACCCATTGTTATTAAAAATACAATAAATCTCACATACAGAATAAATACATTATTAATAACATTATACATAATGCTTGTCATTGTATAAGTATTATGAATATAGTTTGAAAACAAAACCAAGTTTTAAAACATAATAGATGGTATAAAAAGCTGCTAAAATGCTTAAGCACTTACTCCTCATTGTATCATGAGATGCTCAATCTGGTGTTTGTGGATCTATGCAGCATATGCTGTCATGGTAGATTACATCACCAAAAATAAACATTACTGTACATCATGTGCCAAGACAAGCTGCCAACACACAGTGTGCGGACAGCAGAGTAACTCAGAGACCATAAAGCCCAGATTGAGTGTTCCTCAGTAATAAAAGCAAAAACACATAGGTATAAACATAGGTTATGTCTATGCTATGTCAATACAAACGGATTAATAAATAGAGGATACAAATTATATTAAATCACTTTTAAAAAATAATAAAAATAACATTTTACTTGTGTAATGGGCCAATTTTACAGTTAATGAATACATTAAAATGAGAGGAAAAATAGGTGAGATTTGTTTTAATCTATCAGGAATTGATAAAATTGAAGAAATTAGGCATTACATATCAGAAAGTAGCCAGACAAAAAGAAAGAAAACAAAGTTTAGCAAATAAAAGTGTGGTCGCATTTCAACCTTCAAAAATAATTGATTCTGTAATGACTTTTAATTTATCCCGTTTTTCAGACTTTTTAAGTTTTCTTACAATTAAATAGATTGGAGCAGGTCTGTGTAATACATACTTGCATGTTAACAGAATACCCAGGACATTCGAGTAGTTTGAAGTACCTGTTGATTTATTGGACGCTCTCCGTCTGATCTCAGTCACCATCAGCCTGGACACTTGAGTGGTGAACTGCAGCAGGTCTGAAAACTTCTCATTCATCGTGTTTGGTGGAGCATTCCCAAACACCTGTCACACACACAAAAACACCATTTACAGAGCTCAAACAACCTTCTTTTCATGTAGACCTTTTTTTTCCCTCTACAAAGATGGGGACCTGTTGAGTTAAAGGAGACATATTATGCCCCTTTTTACAATATGTAATAGAAGTCTCTGGTGTCCCCAGAATGTGTCTGTGAAGTTTCAGCTCAAAATACTCCACAGATAATTTTGAGTGGAAGCAGAAACACGCTGTTTTTCGGGCCTGTCTCTTTAAATGCAAATGAGCTGCTACTCCCCGCCCCCTCTTCCAGAATAGAGCTGCGCCATTGCAGCTCGTATCTGCTAAAAAAACATCTGTTTTGGTTCTGATTATCATGCTTATCGCACTGAAATCATGCGTTTTAAACCATATTAGTTTAAACTTCTGATATACGGTTTTCTGAGTGCACACATCCGAAAACGGCTGTCACAGCATGTGAGTAATAAACTAAGTTCTCATTCACACACACAAGTTTACGTTCAAAGTTACTGGGTTAATCTTTTTCATGTTTCCTTGGTTGGTACATGCACCGGGGACCTGATTATAGCACTTAAAACCTGGAAAAGTCAGATTTTCATGATTTGTCACCTTTAAAGCTGAGGTTTAATTAACAGTCACTCCCTTGATGTCTGAAGAGCAGTATGCTCAGTTTATAGAGCTCTTTAGCTTTCGTAGCAGCACTGATAAGACATTCACAAAACTGCCCTTCAGCATCTTGCTCACAGTCAGAATGTCCAGTTAAATTAGTATACTTACCACAAACATTCATAAGAGGCGCAAGACCATCATGTTCAAATCTAGACTGTCAGGCCTCTTGTTGTTTGAAGAAATCAAAATCAAGAGAGACATACTGCAGTGTTAATACTAATACGCCGCGTTTCACATGACTCTATAGCTCTGCATCAAATATGACAGCATTGTAAATAGAGAGGCAGTTTCATCCCACTTCTACAAGTGCTCTCCAAACGCACACAGGCTGCAGCAGGTCAGCGCTCTTTCATGCACAATGATGAGCTGTAGCTGAGGTCATATGCAGTGTTTCTGTATAATCAATGCTGGATGATTAGCACCATCATGCTCTTCTCCAGCCTGTGAGAGTCACTTGATGTCATAACGACTACTTAGCCTTAGTAAATGAAGCACTTGTAACAGCTGGTTCTCTTCTTCTCATTGTTTAAGTTAACAGTAAGTATAGTGTAAATAATTTGTCTTAAAGACAGGGATTTATTATTAGAAGAATATAGTGATTTGTCTGTAAAAGAAGACACAGGTTTAAAGGTGGGGTAAGCGATTTTTCAAAAACGCATTAGAAAACTGATTCGGGCCGACTAGCAAAACAAACTTGTAGCCAATCAGCAGTAAGGGGCGTGTCTACTCATGATGTGGAGGAAAGAGCGTTCAGTGCACAGGACGGACATTAGCAAGCCGAGCGACAGAAAGATAGAGATGGCGGATAAAAAACAAAGAGGAAAACGTCTGCGGAACAAAAGAAGGCTTAAGGCAAGAAGTACGACCCGCGTAAATATCGGATCAGCTTTCCAGCACTGGAGAGAACTCAAGGAGCGGAAGGCCTGCGATCGGACGCCGAGGTTACTTTGCTTCTTCTCGATAGGTGAGTAACACCGTGTCTGCGCCGCAACAGCTAAAGTCTGTCTAGTACACGACAAAGTGACCGTTGAAAATCATTTGAAATGTGTCAATACGTCATGAATAGAATGCAGCAGCAGTTTTCAGTCGGGGATTTGTCGTGTCGTGCCGCATCCAGTGTAGACCATAGATATGTATATATAGTGTAGACAGCATCACTGATTATAATGAGTTAGTATTTTATATTTCATAGTATTTTGTCGCGCCGTGCCACTCGTGTCCGGTGTAGACACGGTGTAACATTGGTTTTGCTTTGTTTCACAGAACTAATCGTTGCCTGGGTTGTGTCCGTATGTGTGGGACAGAGCTATCAAAATAGGGGCGAGACCCTTTTGGGGTAGGGGCGTGTTTGTTTTGGTGATTTCAAACATCAACATTGGCTACCAGAAATCGCTTACCCCACCTTTAAGGTTCTTGCATTCTAACAATAGGAAATTTACTGACTATATACACACTACTGTAAGTTTAGTGTCAGTAAGATTATTTAATGTTTTAGAAAGAAGTCTCTTATGCTCATCAAGGCTGCATTTATTCAAAAATACTGATTGTTTGTTTGTTTGTGTTCAACGCCATTCCAGCTTCTGTGGCTATTTTCATGGCGAACAATATCAAAAATACAGTAAAAATAGTAATATTGTGAAATATGTGAAATTACAATTTAAAATAATTGTTTTATATATTTTAAAATTAAATGTTTTGCTGTGATGGCAAAGCTGGATTTTCAGCACCCATTACTCCAAACTTCAGTGTCACGTGACCCTTCAGAAATCATTCTAATATGTAGATTCGGTCCTCAAGAAACATTTTATTAAAATTTTGAAAACAGCTGTGCTACTTAATATTTTTGTGAAAACTGTGATACAATTTATTAGGACTCTTTGATGAACAGAAAGTTCAAAAGAATTGCATTTATTTGAAATTGAATATTTTGTAGCAATGTTAAAGTCTTTACTGTACGCCATTACTCCAAACTTCAGTGTCACGTGACCCTTCAGAAATCATTCTAATATGTAGATTCGGTCCTCAAGAAACAATTTTATTAAAATTTTGAAAACAGCTGTGCTACTTAATATTTTTGTGAAAACTGTGATACAATTTATTAGGACTCTTTGATGAACAGAAAGTTCAAAAGAATTGCATTTATTTGAAATTGAATATTTTGTAGCAATGTTAAAGTCTTTACTGTACATTTTGATCAATTAAATGCATCTGTATCCCAAATGCAAAAGTATCCCATTTACTAAAAAAATAAAAAATAAAAATAAATAAATAAATCTTACCGAGCCCAACTGAGCCCTGTGAATGGTAGCATACAGTTCTTTTATTTTTATATATTTCTTTTTTTGCAAACTTAAATATTTGGTTTTTAGCACTGTTTGGTGATTTTTCTAGCAATTCTGCATATAAAGTTTACAGTCATCAGTTGCATTACAGCTTTACAACTTTCAGCTACTGGTGCAATTATAATAAATGATTTGTTGTATTTTATTTTTTGGGGGTAAAAAAATTTAAAATATAAATATAAATAATATTTTTAGAATATAAACAAAAATTATCATTTTTTTCTTATTGTTATAAAAAAATGTACTGCTAAAAACAAAATGTATAATAGTTTTTTTTATGGCAGGGCTAGTGAAAATATTAGCAGGTCAAGTAGAAATCTGAACTACTGCCACAGCTAAGCCAGTAGAAAAAAATCCTGCTGCTGTTGTCTGTCACTAATTATCCTCTAACCTCCAACCTCTTAAAAAAAAAAACACTAACAAAAAGAGAGAGAAAAAAAGAACAAAGCCACCAGGATTGTTTTATATATTTTAAAATTAAATGTTTTGCTGTGATGGCAAAGCTGGATTTTCAGCAGCCATTACTCCAAACTTCAGTGTCACGTGACCCTTCAGAAATCATTCTAATATGTAGATTCGGTCCTCAAGAAACAATTTTATTAAAATTTTGAAAACAGCTGTGCTACTTAATATTTTTGTGAAAACTGTGATACAATTTATTAGGACTCTTTGATGAACAGAAAGTTCAAAAGAATTGCATTTATTTGAAATTGAATATTTTGTAGCAATGTTAAAGTCTTTACTGTACATTTTGATCAATTAAATGCATCTGTATCCCAAATGCAAAAGTATCCCATTTACTAAAAAAATTAAAAATAAAAATAAATAAATAAATCTTACCGAGCCCAACTGAGCCCTGTGAATGGTAGCATACAGTTCTTTTATTTTTATATATTTATTTTTTTGCAAACTTAAATATTTGGTTTTTAGCACTGTTTGGTGATTTTTCTAGCAATTCTGCATATAAAGTTTACAGTCATCAGTTGCATTACAGCTTTACAACTTTCAGCTACTGGTGCAATTATAATAAATGATTTGTTGTATTTTATTTTTTGGGGGTAAAAAAATTTAAAATATAAATATAAATAATATTTTTAGAATATAAACAAAAATTATCATTTTTTTCTTATTGTTATAAAAAAATGTACTGCTAAAAACAAAATGTATAATAGTTTTTTTTATGGCAGGGCTAGTGAAAATATTAGCAGGTCAAGTAGAAATCTGAACTACTGCCACAGCTAAGCCAGTAGAAAAAAATCCTGCTGCTGTTGTCTGTCACTAATTATCCTCTAACCTCCAACCTCTTAAAAAAAAAAACACTAACAAAAAGAGAGAGAAAAAAAGAACAAAGCCACCAGGGGGTGTTTTAGTGTTATCAGTGCAATAAAATGTCTATTATATTTGTCTTCTCTGTTAATGCATTTTGACTGGTGAGGCTGTACTGTTCAGAAGTCTCTCTACTTTCTGTCTACCTCTGCTTTTTTTTTTTTTTTTTATAAATTGCATTATCCTGATGCACATTACACTATGATGATGCTGTCTCTTTATGTAAACAAGTCATCTCTCTCTCACCCGGTTGAAAACAGGCAGCATCATGTAGAGCTTCTCCTCCTGCTCTTTTTGTGTCATATGGCGCGGTGGGTGGCAGAGCTCGGAGAAGAGACGGCGCAGGTGCATGAGTCCCAGCGCGTTGTCCTGTGGGCTGCACTCCTCCTGCCGTGGCCTCCCCATGATCCTCTTCACCATATTCATTTTCAGAGGCTTCTTGAGGCCGAAGCCAGCCCTGACAGAGCAGACAAATAGACAAAAGAGAGGTTTTGTGAAATGGAGGAAATGAAAAATGGAGGGTGGGGAGGGGAGGGGGAAAAAATAACGAGATGTCAGGGAAATTGATCATCGATTGTGAAAGTCCACTTCTAATGTGACGTGATATGCTAGCTTCAAATTGCAGATCAAATTCAGCCTGTTTATTTTTTGCAGTGAACTGCTTCTGTCTGAGACCCTTTAGTGAGGATTCTGCTGCAGGTACAGAAATACTGCAGGACATGCAAACAAAACTGGATCCAAGATATTATTTAGGTTCATTTCAAGGACACAGCGATGAAAGCAAACTTAAGTATCTATGTATAAAGCAACAAGATTTGTGTATAACTGCACAAGCCCTTAGGATAACTATTACTATTATTGAGAAGCTATTGTGTGATTTTGTAATTCTCATTCTTATCAATTGTTGCACTTTAAATTGTCCATTCCATGTACAGTAAGGTTACAGTTCATATAGGAAAATCAGACACAAACTAACTCTCTCTCTTACTAACTGCAAATTACAAACAAAAATGAGCAAATAAACAAAAGAAACAGCCAATTGATAGTAATAGGCTACACTGAGCTTTACTACACAGAGCAGTAGTTCACGGACAAGCTAGGCAATATCGCGCTCGTTATCGCAGGCGATAAATGCCGCTTCATCTGAAAACACGTGATGGTGATTTACTACTAATAACGGAACCGGCATTACTTGCGAGATGCGCATGACAATCGCATGCGATTAATTGCACAGCCCTAATATGCTACATGGCTTGCTAAAAGGGCTGGGCAATAAACAATATATCATCAAGATCATGATAAAATGTAACGATAATAAGCTCTGGACATTTTTATCTATATGGATTAATGTAACTTTGCTTTCCATTTATTACTTAAAGCACACTTAAAGGGGTCATATGATGTTGCTAAAAAGAACATTATTTTGTATATTTGGTGTAATGAAATGTGTTTATGCGGTTTAAGGTTCAAACACATTATTTTCCACATACTGTACATTATTGTTTCTCCTCTATGCCCCGCCTTTCTGAAATGCATAGATTTTTACAAAGTTCATCGGTCTGAAAAGCAAGGTGTGCTGTGATTGGCCAGCTATCCAGTGTGTTATGATTGGCCGAATACCTCAAGCATGTGACGGAAATGTTACGCCCCTCACCATACTGTGATGATGCCCTGTCAGGCCGGAGCGATGATTCAAAAACATGAAAACCCATTATAAACGAGGCATTCGTTGCATCCAGTGGGGACATAATTATGGATTATGACTTATACTGTCTTTTTACGCGTTGCGTTGCATCGCGCCGCGTAAACATAAAACCATGTCTGCATTTGTGATCGGAGAAATGACAAACAACAAGCCCTACTCTACACTGCCCAAAAACTCGCTTTAAATATAAAAAATATAAAAACTCTTTAAATATAAAAAAAACTTACTTCCAGTCTCTGAGTCAGAACAGCCGGCATTGTAGTCTACTCTCCCAGGATCAGGAAACAGTCCTCCATAAAATGTGCTGCACACATCTGAATATTTGGGTTGAACTGTTCTGTAACAGTGTTGTGACATGGGCACAGTCGTTTGCATAAACACTGCCTCCAGAGCAAGACATTCACAAATAGTCTTCTTCTCACCATAGGCCCTCCCACTGGCGTTCAGTCTCTTGATACCTAATCAAGCTGAATGCGAGTGTGGCGTTGCGTCAAAAGCAAATAGAAATTACAATATCACAAATACAAATGCGTGTTTGCTTTCTGACACAGTCCACACACTTTATCCTGTCGTCAAAAGGACAAATGGAGTGAATGTCATGACCCCTTTAACTAAAACTAATGATATTAAAAAGGCAAGAGAACAGTCAGTAAAAAATAAGAACAAATACACAAATTACAAGCATAGATAAATTAGGGATGGGCATTCCAAACAAAAATAATATTCGAAAATCGCTGGGTATTATTGGATTATTATTTGAAAATCGCACCCCTCCCCTGCATGCACACACAAATATATAATATAGGCTACCTATCATAAAAACTACATACCCTTAATTTCTTTGCAATTGGGCAAACTTACAAAATCAGCAGGGGATCAAATAAATATTTTCCCTACTGTACGAGATGGGAGGAAAAATCTGTCGCAATTAGCCTATAATGTTGGGTAATTATACTGTATAAAAAATGTGGGCATCAGGGAGCCGTTATTAATATGCGGGGCATTGAAATTGCTTAAGAACGCGTGCCTGTTTTTTACTTTCACTTTCGAGATTCACGATCACATACAGAGCAGCACTCGGCAGTACTTACTAGGGCTGTCAAAATGACTGAAAAACTAAATTCGAATTTTCAACTTAAATATTATCAAAATTTGAATTATATTCTAATTTAAAAGGCATAATTTCAGTTAGGGGGAAAAAAGCTTTTGGCTTCTCTCCTGAGGCCACATCGAGCAAAATATTATGCACGTTTCTTCAAAGAAGTGAAAAAAAGTGCATAATGTTTAAAATAATGTTTATAAACCATATATAATGAATAAAGTTGCTTAAACAATTCGAAAAAAACAGCACCATGCATGTATGTATAGTTTAATACAAAGGACCGAAAACCAAATCACAAAGAGTAGGCTACTTCATTTAAAAACATGAGACACAGTGTGATGGGGAAAAACTTCCATAACATCTTTAGACATGTTTTTTAAAAGTTGAACTTGCATTAACTTTACATGGCTTCTAAACATGCCGCTCTCTGCGAGACGTGAGTGCAACGCTGATAGATGTCCCTCTAGAAAATGTGATAAATATGCGTTCTGTGTGAATGGCTTGGTTTCAGTTTTGATGTGGCCTTTTTCACAATGGAGTCAATGTGAGTGTCCCACTTCAGGTCCTGAGAGATTGTGGTGCCCAGGAACCTGAATGACTCCACTGCAGTCACAGTGCTGGATAGACTAACAAAAGCATTCAAATGGAATCAATGACACATACATCGTCATCGCATCTCGTGCGCCACTGATAAGGCTGCCTGACGGCTGACGCAGACCTTAAATTTGGATTTGAAATGTGGATTTTTTTTTTTATTTGACGAATATTCGAAATTCGATTTTTTTTTGACAGCCCTAGTCCTTACCACACATTTTACAAGATTAGATGTTTGTCAGTGGTGCTCAGGATCTGAGCGGCCCATAGAAACAGTCGATAATGAGGCATTTAGATATATATATACTAAACTTCAGTCGCAAAACTGGCTAACTAGCACATTATTAGGAAAGGCGATTTGCAAAGATTCATAAAAACCCTTATAACTCACTTCTTCTGTAGATGAAGCTGGATCACGAATGATTCGGGTGAACATAGACGCATTTAGGCAGATCGGGGATCAGCGCATCAAAACGAAAGTACCGTTAATCCTCTGCGTCTTCAGCGGCTCAGATGTCTGGAGTAAATGATGACTGCTATATTCATTACTACATCCAACAACTAAACACCTCAATCGCTTAATTGGAGACATTCTTGTCTCCCCTGCACCGGAGTCGACACAATGGCGGACTGATGACAGCTCACTCAGGGCAGAGCTAAGGTAAGACGCTACTGTCAATCAACTATCGCGGGAGGGGTCTGTGCAGAACTACGTCATTCTGACAGGAACCTCAGAACAGCCTGATTTGAGAAAGGGGATTTTAAAATAGGGATTTAAAAAAAAAAACACTGGGTGGATTTTTATCATTATAGGGTGGATGTGTACACACACTTCCAACACACATTTCAGTTCAAACAACTTGCAAAGTGAATTTTGCATCCGGTGACCCCTTTAACACTTTAATATTTGAAATTTATATTAATCTAGTTGTTTTTGCTGTGGTATTTTTTTTTAAAGCATAGGCAAAATTCCTCTTGCAGTGTTCTGTAGGCTGCTGATTTTTGCTCGTGTTATTCAGCTGCAACAGAATGCTTTGTAAAAAGACAAAATAAATGTTTGACATCTAAATGTTTGACTTAATTTTTTTTATATTGGATTTTGTATCTTATTGGAATCGAAACTAGGAATCGATAAGAATCGGAATCGATAAGCAGAATCCAAATCCGAATCGATAAAATTCAAACGATACCCAACCCTAAATGTTAAACAACACAAATATCCTTTATGTATTTAATCCCATTCTATTAACCAATGTCTTTGCTTCTGACCTTCGATGATCCAGTTCAACCATACTAATAAGCAAAAATTACTCTAGACAAACATTTGTGTCTTTTTTTATTGCTGAAGTGTGTTGACATTTCCTCTTCTGCATTCTACTGTACGGACGTAAATTTACTTTTCCTTCAGCCTAAGGCTTATTCATTTCACTTTTGGTGTGAAAAGGCTTTTATATTTGCCAAAAATATAACTTTTTTATTTTAAAAACAAACAAGCAAGCCCTGTCAAGATTTAAATAGTAATTCCATAAAAAGTAACTAAGTAACGTAATGAGTTACTTTTTTATGGAGTAACACAATATTGTAATGCATTACTTTTAAAAGTAACTTTCCCCAACACTGATCATGTGTATGTGCTTTTTAGTCTGTGCAAGATGACGCGAAAGAGAACTCAATTCAGTATTCACGCATCTGAAACGGCATGCGACTACAGAATTAAGTTATGTCTTGCACGTAAACAGCTAAATACATACAAAATTACATCAAAATGATGAGTATTCACGTAAACACAGTCGATTTATGCTAAACATGGTCGGTATATAGGCTTTTAAAGGGATAGTTAACCTCAAAAATGAAAATTCTGTCATTAATTACTCACCCTCATGTCGTTCCAAACCTGTACAAACATGTGAAAAGCATTTATTTTCCCATTAATGGTAAAATATTATTGTGATAAATATTAATCGCATTATATGGCAAAATATTTTGTGATAATATGGCCATATCACCCAGAGCTAAACTATAATTTTTGGTGCATTTGGTGACATTAATAAATGAA